CACGAATAAGAAACTAGATTAAGGTTGTCCAAGAACGTAATTTTATAAATGGCGACTTATATCTCGATACTTAGTTAGGTCGATATATATATAATCGAACCCCTAATCTCGAAAGTAAAGAATCGAACAGAACTGTATGCGAGAAAAGTTAGTAAGGCAGTTCTAGACCGGAACTCAGACGAGGCACATGGTGCGCAATAAAGTGCGTCAACAACACACAAGGGCCTCTGGACATTTATTTTATTCCGCCTACCGCTCCGTTGATCCCATCCTGACACATATTAGTTTTGCTACGTGCAGTGACTATCGTTTCTTAGTAATTAAAGTTTACATATGTATTTTTATTATTATAGATACTTATAAAATTTTATAATCACAATGTTGCCGCATATTTAATGATCCCTAATATATACCCCATCATATTTTTTTTAAAGTATTATTTCAAGATTTCAACAGAAACATTTCAATAATATTTTATTAGCAAATATTTGAAAATTGTTAACACTTTGTAAATTTTATCATATAAATATTCACATTTGCAATGTTGAAACATATATTACAATTTTATTATTTAAGTTTGTATCATAATAAATTTGTGTATGATGCTTTTTATATTACCCTAGAATTGTACTTACATTTATGAATTTCAGTTACAATTTCTTGACAATTTTTGAGGTTTTCACAATTAAATATAAAAAATAAATTTTTTATAGAGTTTCTTTTGTAAATAATGCATATAAACAGTAAATATTATTTTAAAAATAATTTTTAAATATGTACTATTTTTTCTTTTATTTTACTACTTTACAAATAATGTTTTTTGTGTATATCCCCAAATTATATTTTATTTTCATTGATATTACAGTCTAAATACGAGTACAAAGCAATTTGTATTACAAATGCATCTGTTGCAGCGATATTTAACATTATAAACGTTAAATATCTAGCGCTATAATTTGCAATATATGTAATTTATAGCGCCTTTCTAATTTACTTTTCAATTTTTATTACGCAATTTCCAGTGCTATCAATGTTTTACAAAATAAAAGTATTTTTTCGATAAAAACTCAAAGCATTTCTATATTAAAGGAGCGAGAGAGAAAACACTAAAGCGTGCGAGAGAGACAGCTACTGTTTGACGATGAGATCATCATGCTCTCCCCTTCCTTCGTCGCCCCTCGCCTACAAGCTGTTTCTAACTCCCCCCTTACTTCGTCGCCCCTCGCCGACAAGTTGTTTCTAGCTCCCCCCTTACTTCATCGTCCCTCGCCCATAATCGGTTTTCCTGAGGTAACCTTCTCTCTATAGATCTTGGAGCCGGCCAGCACCAAGGCTCCGTGGTAGGGGAATTATGCACACAAGCGAGAATCGCTACGTCACATGTACATGTGCGCACACGTACGTGTGACGTACGATTCTCGCTTGTGTGCATAATTCCCCTACCACGGAGCCCTGGTGCTGGCCGGCTCGAGTTTGCATCACTGCCTACTTCTTTACTGCTGCACTGAGTTCACATCAAAGTAGTAGGCTACTACTTTGATGTGAACTCAGTGCAGCAGTAAAGAATAAACTTAATCAAGAGAATTTTTAATACGTGATTAAATAAATTTTAACGATGGACATAGTGATCGATAAGAAAGGCAACTCTGACCTAATAAGTAGGGATCAGTTATTAGGAAGTGACGATGATGACGATGTAGAAATTAAGACTATCGGTATGTTTATCTATTCTTTATTTTTGTGAGATATAGGTTAGGATTTAATGTAAAGTATATTTTTTAATTTTTGTAACTATTGTTGAGCATTCAGATCGTAAATTAATTAGTTAAAAATATTTATGTTTTTTCCATTAGATGTTGATCCATCAAGGATATATGATGCAGAATATCTTGGTATTAAGACAGAGGAAACACCAAAAAAAAAACTTGTTTCTAATGAAGACTTTGATCTTGAAGAATTTGAAACCGATATGGGTTGGAAATCTTCAGGAGTTACTTTTAAACTAACACAAGAAATCACGCACATAAGAAAAGACATAAATCCACTGGATAAAATTTTGAAAAAGACTGTTATCAATCCTGGTTTTGAACAGTTGCATGTTGTACCACCATATGAGTTGAGCAAACATCAACTGGAATTACGTAAACGACGAGAAAAACGAAAGCAAGGTACAGGTGCAGGCTGGTTTAACATGAGAGCGCCTCAAATAACGTCAGAGATCAGACATGATCTTGAAGTATTACGAATGAGGTCTGCATTGGATCCCAAACACTTCTACAAGAAAAATGACATGACTGCATTGCCAAAACATTTCCATATTGGTAAAGTTATCGATTCTCCAATGGATTTCTATTCCTCACGTCTTACAAACAGTGAACGTAAAAAGACTATTGTTGATGAGCTCATGGCTGATGCTGATTTCAAAAAGTATAATAAGCGCAAATATAAGGAGATTGTTGAAGAAAAGAAAAAGACACATTATAAGGCACACAAACATGCAAAAAGGCTTAAAGGAAAAAGGAAGAAGTAACTTATTGCAATTATATAGAATTCTTTGTGTTGAGGGGAATAAAGAATTGATAAAGAATGCAAATTTTATTTGTATTTAAAATATGTAACAGAAGTATATGTACATAAATTGTACATTTCTTAAAAAATATATATTACTAATAAATATATATTACTAATAAAAAATATATAAGTAGATATGTATCTGTTTGTACACAAGCAACATATATGTGTACACACATCAGAGTTATATATTTTGTCTGTGTATACACATAAAAACACATACAAAATGAATAACATTCAATACATTCCTCCAGTAATTTCTATAGCAGTACCATTCACATAAGAACTTCTGTTAGAAGCTAAAAATGCGACAACCTCTGCCACTTCTTGTGGTTTGCCTATTCTTTGCAATTGTATTTTTTTAATAAGAATTTTCTTAACATTGTCTGGTACATTTGCAGTCATAGAAGTTTCTATAAAACCAGGCAGTATTGCATTTACCCGAATTCCAAACCTGTAAAATGTACAATTACATATTTTATATATATATATATATATATTATTTATATTAAATCAAATCATATTTTACATTAAATCAAAATGTTTTGTAAATAAATATCTAATACATACTGCCCAAGCTCCATAGAAGCGGTTTTTGTCATAGCTATCACTCCAGCTTTTGATGCACTATAATTACTCTGTCCAATATTTCCATATTTACCAACAATTGAACTCACATTAATAATGGAAGAATCTTTAGATGCATTTGCTTCTATCATTGTTCTTGCAGCAATTTGCATTACCAAGAAAGAACCTTTTAAATTGATGTTGATCACATCATCAAAGTCATAATCACTGAGTTTCATTAAAAAGTTATCTCGTGTAATACCTGCTGCATTAACAATGATAGAAGGTGGCTTTAAAAATTGCTTTACAACATGTTTAAATGCTATCTCAACATGCTTTCGATCAGTGACGTCCACATTCAGTGGAACATGCTCAATACCTACAATGATAAATATGCTATGAATGGAACAATGACAACGAATAATTGTAAGATAAAATTTATATAATTATTGAAATTTATATGTGTATATTAAAATATATAATGTTTTTTGAAAATATTTAAAATATTTATACTATAAATACACATAAATATAAATTTTAATATTGATTTCCATCTTTAATCAAAGCATTCATAGAAATATATAGACCTTCTAAAGTAGCTACAGTTTCCTCAACAGTTTTAATATTTCGATCGGTCGCCACGACTTGGGCGCCTTCTCTAGCTAAAACTCGACATATCTCTCTTCCGATACCACTTCCAGCACCTGCAATATTTGACGATGAAAAAATTATATTTATATATAAACTACATTTACATCTTATACATTTTTACTGAGCAATGATTTGGTTAAGCGTTAAACTAGCTCAAGTCTTTGCGTTTTATAAGTAAAGATAATTATTTGGAAGAAATTGTTAATTCAATTAACTAATAAAAACTAAACTCAATTTAAATATACAAAACTTGCACAAACCAGTAACAAATGCCAATTTTCCAATTACGAGTTTCGACATATCGTAACTATTGTAATTAGAAGCTCTTGATTGATCAACGCGGTAATCACAGTGAATTATATAACATAACTAAAGTGAGCCTATCCTATAAGAACCAATGTGTACTTCGCGGCCCAAAGATAGCAATAGTAGGCGAAGACGTCTGTCCTTCCATACTTACCGTGTATGGTGGGAATATTAAAAACAAAGCATACGTCTCCATCCAATATAGCTCTCTCTTCCACAGTGGACCTTCCCCTACTCCTTCAAGGCTTACTCCAGTATGTATAATATAGTTCACTGGGCAATCAACACTGGCAAATCACCGCATTGGTCAATCGATGAGCATTCCATCATAGAAAGACGAAGTTAACGCGCTCGTTATTGCATGAACGCGCCGGAAGGAATTCCGACGGTTCGGAAATGTGTTTTCTCGAGCATCTTCCAGCCGGCGATTTCACAGCACGTATACGTAAGTACAACCGGCCAATCGGAATCGAGTTTCCGTCGTCCTGGAGACAGCACCATATGCCGTTGACGTCAAAGCGTACCCGCAGTGACGTCAGAGAAACGCGCAATGCAAATGGCTGTGTTTACGGAAAAATTGAACTCGAATTATTGGCCGCCCGTATTGCGATGCGATATGATGCGAGTCATTATAAGTTAAGCGGGCAGTTGACCAGTCGGACAATAATTATCATCATGTCTCACGGCTGCATTTAGTCAAAACATGACATAATGGATTTACATTTAAATACGTCAGTATACATTAAGATGTACATGACGTGTTTCAAAGAAATACTTGCTGGTATGAAATATTGCGCAAAAAACAAATCGGAAATTTATTGCAGATTATAGTATGCACTTTTAATGCGTTCTGTCACGCAAATATCCAAGATAATTCATAAAGAATGCCAAAGAGCTGTACAAACGGACCTTAATATTGTTTAACCGGTGAGTGCTATCATTTGTGAATGTATGATCAAAGAAATTTTGCATGAAGCTTTCGAGAGATTGTCGCATCACGTGGTATCAATTTAAACGTTTATGAAATTACAGCGAAGGTGTACACGATGAAGTCAAAGAAAAGAAAAGGAGATATCGTATTGTAGACGCTGCTGGCAGCACCGGCGCGCCGCAGCTCGTAGCCCCGCGCCTTCGTCTGTGCCAGTTCTGCGGTGGGACAGTTCGAGGTTGTCTCGTAGATACGTAGAGTTGGTGAAATCAGGTGCGCGACGTCAAGGGCGGACGGTTAGCGCATCGGGCGCGAGCCGAGACAGCGAAGAGAAAGATAGAGAGAGAGAGAGAGAGAGATATTAAGCGGCGAATGTAGAAGAGATCGAAGTTGAACGTGGTGACAAGTGCGCTATCAACAGGAATATTGCGGTATGCCGTGTACTCACGCATCATCGCAGCGATTCGACTCGGTACGCGTGAACAGCGATAAGAAACACGGTAGAGAAGAGTGGCGACGTGTGACGACGCTGCGTGCTTGGTCGCGCGGCGAGACAACGGCAGCGTGGTGAGAAGCGAGACAAAGATCGAGAAGGAGAGAGGGAGAAAGAGAAAGAGAGGGGGAAAGGAGAGAGAGAACAAGAAGAAAGATTGAAGGAACAGGAAAGAGCGAGTGACAGATCAAAGGACCGAAGTAGTGCACTCTCTCGTGCAAGTGTAACGCTCGCCGTTCTTCGACTACGGATAGCGCGAACAGAGCTGCCGAGGTGTTTCGAAGCGCAGCAGCGGCGGCTCAGGATGCTGCCCGACGTAGCAAAAAGATGGCCGTGATCGGCGAACGCAGGTATCACGCCGTGGTTCGTGCGAGCGCGCACACGGAGTTCTCGTGTCATAAAATCGAAGATCGAAACGAGGCGATAGTCACATCGCCGTTGCCGTCACCCTCATCTTCATCATCGTCATCGTTGTCCTCGTCTTCGGTATTGACGCGTCGCCGTCGGCATAGGAAGAAAAGCACAGCGGACCGCTTATCGCCGCCGCCACCACCGCCGCCGCAACAGCAGCAGCAACTTGCGATGTCTCGTGGAGGCGGTCCAGAATTTGGCGAGCTTAGTGATCCAGATGACAGCTATCTGGATACAGATCAACTCAGGCACGAATTATACAATATACAGAGAGTCATACATTTCACGCGACAAAACATTGACGCTTTGAACACTCGTTTTGCTGATTTACGAAATCCACCTCCGATTTATCTTAGTGAATACAATGAACTGACAAGTAAATTGCATGATCTAGAGTGTAAAGAGCAGCAACTGAATGAAGCGCTGGATGCTGAAAGTATTCCTAGTGTTACTATGTCTGAATGCGACAACAATATGGGCAGAGGCCCCAGGACACCGGTGAAATCCATCAGTACACTCAGGGCATATCTACCTAATCAACAACGTACTAGTGTGCAAGTGCGAGAAGGACTTTCCTTAAGAGACGCGTTAGCCAAAGCTATGAAACTACGAAATCTTACTCCTGAGATGTGCGCAGTTTACATTATGGGTATAAACAATTCCAAGTATTTGATATCTTGGGATGCAGATATCTCGTTGTTGGAGTGTGATGAGATATCGGTGGAAATTTTGGATAAATTTCCTATTACTACTTCCATTTCGCACAACTTTGTGCGTAAGACATTCTTCTCGCTAGCTTTTTGTGAGTGTTGTAGAAAACTGCTGTTCCAAGGATTTTATTGCAGAACATGTAATTACAGATTTCATCAGAGGTGCGCGGGTGGTGTGCCAGCTCTGTGCCATCAAGTGCGTATGCAAGATGCGTACTACAAAGCATTACTTGCGCACAATCCGGAAACTACTGCTGGAATCTTGCAAGTTCCTTCTGGTTACTTGAATAGGAGTATGTCTCCCTCTCTGGCTCCATCAAGAAATCAGAGGCATCCACGTTCCTTGGGCCAGCAAGACCGTTCTAGTTCAGCACCCAATGTCTGCTTCAATATGGTTAAACCAGGCAATGAACCTATTAATGCAGATGAATACAGTAGATCTGAGAATTTAGGTAGACCCGTTGGTACTATGCAAAGTCCTATATCACCTGACAACAGTCCAACAAAGCACAGTCAGTCCACGCAGGCTAGCCCTACCAATACATTAAGGCTGAAGCGACCAAGAGCAAAATCAGCTGATGAATCGTCGAAAAATGTCCTAGCACCAAGAGAATCCATTGAAGATTGGGAAATTCCAGCAGATGAGATCCTAGTAGGTCCACGTATTGGATCAGGATCATTCGGAACTGTATATAAAGCTCATTGGCATGGACCTGTTGCTGTGAAAACACTCAATGTCAAAATTCCTACGTCTGCACAGTTGCAAGCATTTAAAAATGAAGTAGCTGTTTTGCGTAAGACTCGACATGTGAATGTTCTGCTATTTATGGGTTGCGTCAGTAAACCACAACTTGCGATTGTTACACAATGGTGCGAAGGTTCGTCTCTGTATAAACATTTGCATGTGTTCGAGTCCAAGTTTGAATTGCTGACGTTAATAGAAATTGGCAGACAGACAGCACAAGGTATGGACTATCTGCATGCGAAGAACATCATTCACCGTGACTTGAAGAGTAACAACATCTTCTTGCACGACGATCTTACTGTTAAAATTGGCGATTTTGGTCTAGCAACAGCAAAAACTCGATGGTCCGGTTCTCAACAGTTTCATCAACCGACTGGTTCCATTCTCTGGATGGCACCAGAAGTCATCAGGATGCAAGAGGAAAATCCGTATAGTTTTCAGTCTGATGTCTACGCATTTGGTGTAGTGTTGTTTGAATTATTAGCTGGTCAGTTACCGTATTCACATATAAACAATAAAGATCAGATATTGTTTATGGTAGGACGTGGTTATCTGCGTCCCGATTTAAACAAATTGCGTTCCGATACACCGAAAGCACTAAAAAGACTCACGGAGGACTGTATTAAATTTTCGCGCGATGAGCGACCGATATTTCGTCAGATCTTGGCTAGTTTAGAGAGTCTTTTGCGTGGTTTACCGAAGATAACAAGATCAGCTTCCGAACCAAATCTGAATAGAACGCAATTGCAATCTGACGATTTTCTATACACCTGTGCTTCACCAAAAACGCCGGTAAACTTTCAATTTGGCGCTTTCCCCTTTTATCCTTCCGGTGGGAACATATAAATGTATCAGCTGACACATTATAAGTCTGATGCACTTTGCGTAAAAGAAGTATTTAAAACATTGAAAATAATGATAAGCTTAGCTTTATGAACAATCTAAATCATTCTTTCATTATTTCTTGATCATATTGCAAATATTTGCTCGATGTGGAATGTGATAACATTCTTTGATATAAAACAAAAGAAAAATATAAGCTTCATACATATATATATGCGCGCGCGCCCACACACACACACACACACACACACACACACACACACACACACACACACACACACACACACACACACACACTACGAACGTAACGTACG